GCCTCTGGTTGTGACCAGAGCTGCGGGCCCTGCGAGCTCACCTCAGGGACACGATGCAGTGCTGGCAGAAGCGGTGCCCACAGCCTGTCTGGTGGGGGTTGTGCAGCACGGAGCGGCAGAAGGCACATTTGTAGCGCTCCTCTAACTGCTCCACAAACTGGAACTCCGTGTTGGGCTCAAAGTCCAAGGAAATGGAGTTGCCGGAATTCTGGCGGATGAAACCACACGGGATACCTCCTTGCTCCTCAGAATAAGCCATTCTGGGGGAGTCAGGAGAAGAGAAGGAAAATTGAGTGTGCAGAGACCAAAACAATTGTTTCCGAATTAGCGCACATCATCCACACGGTCATTCTGTTATGACTCGGTAACAACAGTAACAACCTCCAGCCACTGGAGGGCTCCCGCACAGGGGAGATGTCTTCACGGTGCTCAAGCAGGAGCCTGGACCAGAAGACTTCTAGCAAGATTTTAGGAGACTTCAGACCTTTGCCCACCAGCCTCTTACAGGATGCTAAATTATCCTGTTAGTTTGGCCATGCACTTGGACCAAATACAACCAGGGTGTTAACTACATTCTAAGCTGACTCTTCCACTCGGTTGAGAGAACGGAAACAAACGTTTTGTTAACATTTTTCAGAAGAACCTTGTATACCAATGCATTTCTTGCAATATATATAGATACATCACCACCACCAAGCCACATCATTTCTCACCTGAACTAAATAAGCATATTAACTGCCACTCCCACCCCCAGGAAGGGTTCTCTCTCCCCCACCCTCCCTTTGTAGCTTCAGCACCTCCCCAGTCTGCTGAAAAACTCCCATTCATTCCCCAGGATGCAGGTCAATTAGTAAGTCCCTACAATCCATTCTCCTACAATCCATTCTCCATACTACAGCCAGGGTAACATTTTCAAAATGCAAGTGTGACTGAAGGTTACCTCCTCTCATTGTTCAGTGGCTTGCCAGGCTCTTACGGGAAAGTCCACAATGCTAAGAGAGCTACAAGACTGCACCCTCTCCACCCAGCAGCATCCTGGACCTCTCCTCCCCTTGCTTTCTGCACTTGAGCCATACAGGCTTTCTTTTCATTCTTCTGTCTCCTGCCACAGGGCCTTTGAATAAGCTATTGCCTCTACCTAGAATGCCTCCCCTATGCCTTCCAGTCTTCTTTGCTTCACATTCATGATTCAGATTTCAAGTGTCATAGCCTCAGGTAAGCTTTCTGTACACTTCCCTTCCTCCGCCCCCGCTGAACAGCAGAACAGCCACTCATGTTATGAAGCATGCATGGCCTCCAGGGAGTGGCTGAGGGATAATGGTAAGTGGGCGGCGCGTGGCGGGGGCTGGTGGGGGTGGGTGGAGTGGTCTTTCACTATATAATCCTTTTGAATTTTTCAACATGAACATAGTACCTGTTCAAAAATAAACAAATACACAAAACCAAAAACTAAACATCCACTGTTGTATCTATCACAGAACCGGGTTCTGAAATTCAGAGCAACACTTGATTTTTTAAATTAGACATGCGTAGCGGCCCTCTTGGCGCAGTGGGCAGTGCGTCAGTCTCATAAATTAGACATGCGTTTGTGTGAGTATTTGATTTACATCTGTGTGCTTCAATGACACAGAGATCCCATCTGGTCTTACTCAATGTTGCGTCTCCAGCCCTCAGCACCGAGCCAGGCATGGAGAGCAAATCAACTATTTGCTGAATTAACATGCTTGAATGGACTCTTTGACTAACCTGCAACAGGACGGCTCTAACTAGTGTTGCCCGCTAACACAGTGATCCTTTAACTTTTTATGAGGAAGGACTTTCCCCATCTTTGAAATCTGATAAAAAGTCTAGACCTTCTCCCCATAAAAGAGCACAGACACCTGATCTCTGGACCTCTGCAGACCCTCTGAACCCACTGGTTTCCCCAGGTTAACAACAGCCCTGCCTCCCCAGTAAGAATGCTGTTACTTTGGGCACAGGGCCTGGACTGGTGCTTTCAGAGTGTCTGGCAAGTGGCTAAAGGATGGGAGGCAATCAAGGGTGGTCCCTGGGAGTGATATCCTTCCACGTGGTTAGGGAACAGGAAGGCTTGGCCTTCAGGCTTGCTTGCTTTGGCTTGCTCTTGGGATCCCTCAAGAATCTCCTGCAGCTGATGAGTTCAACTGGGCCTGAGAGCAGCTGGGTGGCCTGACAATGCAGGTGGGAGATGGGCGCCATCCGGCACCCGGGCCCCCCGCTCTAGTCAGCTGCTGGCCTCACCCAGTGCAGGAGTGGTCTGAGTCTGGGGTGTGGCCTGCAAGAATGGAGCAGAGAAAGCAACTGGCCTCTTTCAGCAAATAAAGCTTTCTCTCTGGAGGAGACCCACACAACAGGGTTTTTGGGGGTTTTTTTGTTTTTTTTTAATCCTGGAGTTTGAGACCAAAGCCCCACCTTTCCCACTCTGCATATGTTTCCTGCAGAACTTCAAGGGGGGTAGGTGAACAGTACAAGATGTGATTGTTGCCCTTTTAACCTGGTTTATTCTTGAGAGTTAACACATCTTAATTGCAGAGATCAAGAGGCACAGCACTTGGTTCACCTGCACAATCCTAATACCCAAGACTCACCTTTCGCTTAGAGAAATGGAAACACCAATTCCAAACCTCCCTCATCTGCCCTGCGTTCTCTGGTCCCAAGGGAAGACAACAATTCATGTCCTACACCCCTCTAGGGTTCTTTCTGAGACCAGGCTCCTGTCTCTGTCACACAGCATCTAAATTTGGACTCTCAGAGATGTGCCCTAACACAACAAGCTTGCTCAGCTCCTAAAACAGGGCAATAAGATGTTCAAAACTCAGTTTGGGTTCCCTTCCACTACATTCTATCCTCTTTCCAAACAAAAGAATTTAATACACTCATCTGTGTGCCCATCTTTCTCTACAACAGCAGTTCTCAAACTTTTTGGTCTCAGGACCCTCCCTCCCACCCTTTAGACTCTGAGGACCCAAAGACCCTAAACACCCAACACAATATTGAAGGAGTAGAACAAAATTGGAGGGGGCGCCTGGGTGGCTCAGTCGTTAAGTGTCTGCCTTCAGCTCAGGTCATGATCCCAGAGTCCTGGGATCGAGCCCCTCATCGGGCTCCCTGCTCGGCGGGAAGCCTGCTTCTCCCTCTCCCTCAACCCCTGCTTGTGTGCCCTCTCTCACTGTGTCTCTCTCTGTCAAATAAATAAAATCTTTAAAAAAAAAAAAAAGAACAAAATTGGAGGATTGACACAACCCCACTTCAAGACTTCCTGTGAAGCTATAATAATCAAGATAGTTGTGAAGCAGTGAAAGAAGAGACAGACAGATAAATGGAACAGAATAGAGAACCCAAAAACAGACCCACATAAATACCGTCGACTGATCTTTGATAAAGAAGCAAAGGCAATACAATGGAGCAAAAACAGTTTTTCACGAGTGGTGCCGGAACAACTGGACATCCACATGCAAAAAAAAAAAAAAAAAAAGATGAATCTAGACGTAGACTTTCCACCCTTCACAAAGACTAACTCAAAATCATAGACCTAAATGTAAAGCGCAAAGCTATTAAACTCCCAGAAGACAACATGGGAGAAAATCTAGATGACCTGGGGTATGGCAATGACTTTCTAGAGACAACACCAAAGGCACAAACCATGAAAGAAAGAATTTGTAAACTGGACTTCATTAAAATTGCTGCTCTGCGAAAGACATTGTCAAGAGAATGGGAAGACAAGCCACAGACTGGGGGAAAATAGTTTCAAAAGACACATCTGAAAAAGGACTGTTGTCCAAAATATACCTCACCAGAGAAGATAGGGAGATGGCAAATAAGCAAATGAAAAGGTGTTCCACATCATATGTTGTCAGGAAAATATAAATAAAATGAGATACCACTATTCACCTACTAGAATGGCCCAAAACCCCACCCCTGACGATCCCAAATATGGGTGAGGATGTGGAGGGACAGGAACCCTCACTCACTGTGGGTGGGAATGGGACACTTGGGAAGACTGCCTGGCAGTTTCTTACTAAACATGTCTTACCATCCAAGAATCCCTCCTTGGTATTTACCCATGGCAGGTGGAAACCTATGTCCACATAAAACCCTGCACATGTATGTTTATAGGAGCTTTATTCATAACTGCCAAAACTTAGAAGCAATCGAGATGTCCAACAGTAGGTGAATGGATAAACTGTGGTACATCCAGACAATGGAATATTCTTCAGCATTACTAAGAAATGAGCTATCGAGCCATGAAAAGATGTGGAGGAATCTTAAATGCATATTACTTAGTGAAAGAAGCCAATCTGAAGAGCCTGCATAGTCTACAGTTCCAACTATAGGACATTCTGGAAAAGGCAAAATTATGGAGACAGTAAAAAGATCAGTGGTTGCCAGGAGTTAGGATGGAGGTAGGGAAAGATGAATAAGAGGTGCAGAGAGGATTTTTAGGGCAGTGAAAACACTCGGTATGATACAATAACAGTAGATACATGTCATTATGCATTTGTCCTAAAACAACACCTTATCTGCCTAAAGACAGATCTTCCAAAGGGAACTCAATTATTATAAACCACCTCTCCAAGAGTCTCATCAACCAGGAAAGAGTGGCTCATTACAGGAGAAGAAACTAGGTGATACCCAGACAAACTTGGTCATAAACTATCACATATCCCACCTAATCTTCTAAGGGTCCATTTATCTCTCCTAAAAATCATTCGCTCTCCCCTAAGAGGCCTACTTCCCCCTCCCCTTTCCCTTTTAGGATGATATTCAAGCCTGAATCTCAAGCCACCTGAGAGAGCTACTCATTTTTCCCTGGGTATCTCCCACGCATATATGAGTTATAGATGTTAATAAACTTCTGCCTGTTTTTCTCTTGCTAATCTGTCTTTTATCACAGACGTCTCAGCTAAGACCTCAGAAGAGTAGAGGGGAAGGTATTTTTCCTCCCTCACACAACGTAGGTTCATCAACTGTGACAGATGTACCTCTCTGGTGGGGAATGTTGATGGTGGGGGAGGCTGTGCAGGGGACAGGGGGTCTGTGAGAAGTCTCTGTACCTTCTGCTCAACTTTGCTGTGCATCCAAAACCACTCTAAAAAATAAAGTCTCAAAAAAACTGAGGACCCCCTGAGTTGTTTATGTGGGTTATAGCTATTAATATTTACCAATTTGAGATAACACTGAGGAGTTTAGGGGTGCCTGGCTGGCACAGTTGGTTAAACGTCCGACTCTCGGGCACCTGGGTGGCACAATTGGT